TTCTTCCTTCTCTTTTTTTTTTTTTTAATTTTCCTTTTTACTTATTAATTTTTAAACTTTGGGGTTTATTTTTTATTAATTTTTAATTTTTATTTCATTTTTAATTTTATTTTTCTTTTTAAAAATGTTTTCCTTTTTATTTTATATAACATAATTTTTAATTTATTTTTATTATTTATTTTTAATTTTTTTTTATCTTTTTCACTTATCTTTGTTATTTCATTCTATTCTATTTTTGTTTGCGTTTTATTTTTCTTTCAATTTCTTTTTATTTATTATTTATTTTTAAAATGTTTTGGTATATTTTGTCATTTACTATTTCATTGTATTCTACTTTGGTTTGCGTTTTAATTTTTTTTCCATTTATTTTTATCTATGACTTATTTTTTAATTTCTTCTTTATTTTTTCACTTACTTTTATTATTTCACTCGCTTCGTTTTGCTTTGCGTCTTAATTTTTTTTTCCACTTTATTTTTATTGATTATGTATTTTTTTAATCTTTTCTTTTATTTTTTCTTTTATTTTTATTATTTCATTCCATTGTATCTTGGTTTGCCTCTTACTTTTTTTCCCCCCCGGTTTATTTTTATTTTAATTCTTTGTTGGTTTTTTTTTAAATTTTACTTTATTTTAAAATTTTTGCTTTACTTTTTTTTTATTTTAACTTTTTTTTTTTCCAATTATCTGTTATTTTTACACATGGTGATACTGCTCCCTGCAGATGCAAACCAATATACGCTAGCTTAGGGAGAAGCCCTGACTCAGCAAAGAGGTCCCATGTGTCAGTTGGCACATGCCAAATACTTCCGTGAATCGGGATTACATCTATTGCTGAATTAAATTATGAAGGAACATGCTCTACTTAACACCACTGTCCTGTTTTCTTGTGTTACTATTAGATATGGTTTTAAATGCTTAGTTGCTCTCTTATCCAAAATTAATGCCAGGAGTTTCATGTCATAGTTCCATGTGTGACAGCTCTACTGCCTTTCTGATACCCCTGTGTATAGCCACTGTGCCATTCACTTCATGTTGACCTGACTGGATAAAAGCAGCTGTAGCAGGGGCTGCGTAGCATACTTTTCCCCGCCAGGCTTGCTGGAAACATCTGTGAGAATTGAGAGTTGGAGGAGAAAGCCAAGGGACATACCAGGTCTCGCCTTCTCCAGCCAGTCACTGCTGCAGTCCCCGGTGTCAACCTTCACCCAGCAGAGCCTGCAGCTCCCTGGCCAACCCTCCCGCGTCTCCTCACACAGACCTGCCAGGCTTTGCACGGTTCCCGGGCTACCTTCTGCCCCTGCCTGGGGCAAAACTCTGCTGCCCAGGAGGTTAGAGTAATGCACACTGTGCAAATGCTCACGTTGTTTGCATGAAACATCACAAGTTCAGTAGCCACATCTGCAGTGTTGCAAAAATGAAAAATTTTTAGATGATGCAACTGGCTGCAGAGGGGAATTTGACATCACTGATTCCATTCACTAACGTGAAGACAAAATGTAAAAAGCAAATGACAGGCATACAGTAAATCAGCGGAATTTTAAAACCCAAAGGTTTCCTAACTAGCTTTTCTAGAGGAGCTGTGACTCACAAGGAGGGACAAGTTACACAGGGATAACTGATAAGATTGTTCATCCCCACAGCCCACTTTTCCTGTGGTGCAAACTGACATGTTTTAAGGAAAACCAAAATGAGCAGCATACTATTTTTAAAAAGGGGCATGCAGCCTCAAATCCACCATAGCTCAAGAAAAGAATAAAAGAGAGTTTCAAGTAGATTGGTTTAAGTGCCTCTCTATAAAGCGTTTCAATCAGATTTGCCTGCCATAAAAGCTGTGCTGCCTTGCTACCGCTGCATGAAATGACCGTACAGAGGACACTCATGAACTGATCATGCAAGAAAACCAAAATTAATCACCAGGGAATGGTGGCAAATCTGTAAGGTAAAACAACTGAAAAGAGCAGTCCTCTCCAGCATTACAGACAACACTACCACAAGCAGGAACCAAGATCATTTAGTATTTGTAACTAGAGTAGCTTAAATCCCCTCTCCTCCTTAATTTTTTTTTAAGCGGGCAGAAACATTAGCAACTATTTTCCTGCAGGATAATACCATTCAAACGAGGTCTGATTTATTTACGGAGTTTAACATCACCATTTATTATTAACTGAAGTTGTGTGTTCTTTTTCCATTTGGAACCCGCAGCTTCTTTATTATTCAAGAAAACCTTCAGTCTCTAAACACACTTGTCAAACCAAAAGCACTTCTCCTCCTCAAATCAAAATGCTCACCCTCCCATTACTCCCATCCATTTGCATCCTTCACCAAATTCTTTATACTGTTTCGCATTGCCAGTTAAATAAACTAAACTAAGATTGCATGTGGAACTGTCCCCAGGAAGGTGGTGGTGTACTCAAGCAGGTGGCAGTGTCCCTGGGAAAGGTGGCATTGGCCATGGGGAGGTGGTAACATCCCTGGGGAGTGTCACGGGGGAGGTGGTAGCATCTTCAGGAAGGTGGTGGTGTCCTCTGGAAGGTGACAGTGTCCCCAGGAAAGGTGGAGGTGTCCCCAGGAAGGAGGTGACAATGTCCCTGACAAGGTGGAACTGTCCCCAGGAAGGTGGTGATGTCCTCAAGAAGGTGGCAGTGTCCCTGGGGAGGTGGCAGTGTCCCTGGGAAGGTCATGGTGTCCCCAGGGAGGTGACAATGTCCCTGACAAGGTGGAACTGTCCCCAGGAAGGTGGTGATGTCCTCAAGAAGGTGGCAGTGTCCCTGGGGAGGTGGCAGTGTCCCTGGAAGGTGATGATGTGCTTGGAAAGGTGGCAACATCCCTGGGAAGGTGTTGATGTCCCTGGAAAGGTGGAATTGTCACTGGAAAGGTAGCAGCATCCTCAGGAAGGTGATGGTGTCCCCAGGAAGGTGGCAGTGTCCTTGGGAAGGTGGTGATGTCCCCAGGAAGGTGATGATGTACTCAAGAAGGTGGCAGTGTCCCTGGGGAGGTGGCAGTGTCCCTGGGAAGGTGATGGTGTCCCCAGGAAAGGGACAGTGTCCCTGACAAAGTGGAACTGTCCCCAGGAAAGTGGTGATGTCCTCAAGAAGGTGGCAGTGTCCCTGGGGAGGTGGCAGTGTCCCTGGGAAGGTCATGGTGTCCCCAGGAAAGTGACAGCGGAAGGATCCCGAGGAAGTTGGTGGTTGACTCAAGAAGGTGGCAGTGTCCCTGGGGAGGTGGCAGCACCACAGGGAAGGTGGCAGTGTCCCTGGAAGGTGATGTACTTGGAAAGGTGGCAAC